AAAGATCATATCAACTTCACCAGAAGATAATGTTACATCACCTACTTGTACTCTTGAAGTACAGATTATACAAGTTGAAGCTTATGGATATTGATCAATGACACAAGAATGAAGCTCAAAGGAATTTCATGATCAGTATGAGTAAGAACAAGTAATGAATGAATTTGATTCAATGAGAATAATCAATAATGATTACAAAATCAATGGAACAGTAATTCTTGGCTTTCTGAATCGCAATAAATGAGTTTATATAGGTGTTGGCACGAAACTAGTCGTTTATAGCCATTAGAATGCTTACTGCCTAGTAAGTATTCGAATACTTTTCTTAAGGTATTCAAATACTTTGTTCACAGCATAAGTATTCGAATACAGTAAAGAAAGTATTCGAATACTTTCTTGACAGAATAAATAATGCAGTTTTTTGAATTGTAAAACATTCCTACTAGCCTCTAATCACTTTTAATGTAATTCCCTGACTTGTAAAAAATATTTTGAGGTTACAAAATATGTCAAGGGCCTTTTTCATAAATATTAAAGCTTTCAAGTGATTGGTGTCATAGATAATGCATGCATAGAGTTAAATATCCTTTGAGCTCATTTATGCATCATTAATCAATTACCTTTACATATAGATCTAAGCTTTCAAGGATATGCTGCGATCTTGATCATGTGTGTTGAATGATTTGCTCTTATTGTCTTGTTGTTGAATTGCTTCCTTTGACTTTTGATTGTTGTAGGTTGTATTATCTTTGACGTCGCTTCTAAGCTTGTTTGTTGTCATCAAAACTCTTGTATAAATAAACTCTTCATTTTAAGTGCATTGGTTTCACAGTAACAATACCATTTATGGTTAGATAGTCATTCCCATTTACTTGAATCACATTTAAAAGTTAAAACTTCTATCAAATGATGAGATAATATGTTTGGCTTCTTCTCATCACAATTACCTTCAAACAAATTCAAATTAATTTTCACATTTTTATAAAACTAAGTATCAAAAAGTAATTTGCTTCCTCACTCTATAATTTGTTTTCTACTTGCAAACCTAGTTCAAACTTCAAAATTAGTTTTCATTAATTCCCACTTTATTTCTTTTAAACTATCACTTCATTACTTAGAAGAGCATCTTATGTACGAGTTATCCAATAAGCAAAGAACAGTCTCGCAACAATTGCCGCAATCTTATTCGAGTTTGATAAATATTTGTTGTCATGTTAATCAAAGGTCATATGATCCACATACTATACAATGAAGAAATGTTATAATTTCTATTCCAATAGAAATTCCCGTCTACTTGAATTACATTTAAACGATAAAATTAAATAATATGATAATATATGTCTGCCTTATTCTCATCACAATTACCTTAAACAAATTCAAATTAATATTAACATTTAATGTAAAAGTAATGGACCACAAAACTTCCCAAGTTTTTCTCCCTTTTATAAAACTAAGGATCAATAACTAATTAGTTTTGTCACTCTACAATTTGTTTTCTATTTACACACCTAGTTCAAACTTCAAAACTAGTTTTCACTTCTATAATTTCACTTCCAATCCTCCTTTATTTCTTATAGACTCTCACTTCATTACTTAGAAGAACATCCTAAGTAGGAGTGGTTATTCAATAGGCAAAGAAAAATTTAGTAACAATTACATCGCTATTGTCCGAGCTTAATAAATATTTGTATTCATGTGAGTCAAAAGTCATATGATCCACACATTATAATTTCTATTCAAATATGTGTTCTTGTTTCCTCGAATCATATTTGGAAGTTAATGATAATACGCTTGGTTTCTTCTGATCACAATTTAGTTTGAAACAAATTCAAATTAATTTTAACATTTCGTGTGATAATATCACAGGAACTTTTGAAGTATTTTTATCTTTTATAAAATTAAATATCAATATATAATTTACTTTGGCTATTTGATCATTTTACCCCTCATTAATTAATTAATAACTATTTTGCCCCTGATTCGAAACTATCTACCAATCTGCCCATCTTTAATCGACTCCCTTGCATTTTTAATCGACTAAATGGTTGTTGGGAGATTTAATCGACTAAATCTCCCTACTTAATCGATTAAAAAAACATACTGACTTGTTTTCCTTTGTTGTCTGTTGAGAGATTTAGTCGACTAAATAGGGAGATTTAGTCGATTAAATCTCCCAACAGCCATTTTGCCTGTTGTGGCCATTTAGTCGATTAAAAATGCAAGGTAGTCGATTAAAGATGGGCAGATTGGTAGATAGTTTCGAATCAGGAGCAAAATGATTATTAATTAATTAATAAGGGACAAAAGGGTGAAAAAGCCAATTTACTTTCCCACTCTACAAATTATTTTTGGGAAAACTTCATAAATCTCCAGTAAGTTTCCTTAGAATCACTTACTTCCTCTCAAAAATTTTAATCATTTACACCTCTAGTTAAAGTTTCATTATCACTTACTCTCCCTACCTCGATTTTTCATCCAAAATTAAAGTTAAACTTTTTTAAAATACCAAAACTACCCTTAAAACAAAAAAAAATAGAGAAGAAGCTAACATTGGGTGTTTGTATAAAAGATTTTCAACCTACAGATGTGGAAGTGTCGGAATTTGTTTTCACTCAAAAAAGTTCATTCCATTAACTATTATCCAACCTACACATGTGATGCTAACATTGTGGGTGGTTTTGAAGTTTTTTCTTTTTCGCAGCCACAAAACATCAAGGCTTCCTCTAAGTTGTTGTTTTTTCTTTTATTTTAGGAAAAACTTCATTTTTGCCCATTGTGATTTTGTAATTTAATATTTGACCCTCCTGTGATTTTAAATTTATCACTTAGATCCATTGTGCTTAAATAGTTTATCATTTAACCTCTCGTGGTTTAAAACTTTCACTTATCACCTTTGATTAGAAAAAATTTCACTTAGACTCCTTGTGGTTACAAATATAAAAAATTTAAAAAATAAATATTTAAAATAAATGTTCTTTCTTTTTTATTTTATATCCTCATCTAATGCATTTAGGGTTTAAGAAATAAAAATAAATTTTTAAAAAATTGACTTATTTTTATCAAGAAAATAAATTCAAATCAAATATTATTTTATTTTATCTACTTTTTACCCGATATCGTTATAAAATTATCTAAAAAAAATAAATATCTTATTTTGATAATACATATTTAATTTATCTTAAATAATATTTTTTAATTTCAAATATATATTTGAAATTAAGATAATTTATAAATTAATTTCAGAATAAATAACTTGAAATATTTTTTAAACCATAAATTCATTACATGAGGATATAAAATTACAAAGAGAGAAACTTTATTTTAAAAATTTATTTTTTAAAATATTTATTTTTTAAACCATAAGGTGTCTAAGTAAAATTTTTTGTAACCACAATGGGTCTAAGTGAAAATTTGAAACTATAGAGGTTTACAGAACAAAATATCTCAACACAGTGGATCTAACTGATAAGTTTAAACCACAGAGGTCAAATAATAACTCACAAAACTACTGAAAATGAAGTTTTTCTTTTATTTTAAAGGTATTTTTCAAATAAAAATAACTCTGTTAACTTTATTTTTTAAGTTTTTCCATTATTTTTTACTTGCACACCTAGTTCAAGCTTTAACAATTATTCTTTTAGAAAAGTAAATTACTTTTCAATCCTCCCCGTTAGACTCTCTCTTCAATACTTATCAGAATATTTATTAGGAATTGCAAACTAATAGGAAAACTACTCCCGCACAACAATGGCTAATCCTTATTTAAGTAAAGATTTCTTTCTTTTTCTTTTTGGTAAAAAAGTAAAGATTTCTTTAATTGCTTTGACTGTTCGAAGTCTTTAACAATTGAGAACTTCCAATGGAAATTTAGCTTACACAAATTATATCGATTAAATAAATAAACGATATATTCACTACCATTTATATTAAACAGTTGCATTAATTTATGTAATAAAATAAGGGATGAGATATTATTACTACCAAATAATATTACTATCATATCTTAACCGTTAATTTTCGTCAATCAACGGTTATCATTTATTGTGAATTAATAATTAATTAATGAGTTTAATTTGTAAAAATAATAACCGTTGATTGACGGAAATCAACGGTTAAGATATGGTAGTAATATTGGTAATAACATTATTTGGTAGTATTAATATCCTATCCCATAAAATAATAACTTTACTTAGAAAATGATTTTACATAAATTATTTATAAATTCAATTTAGATATTACTATTACCATATTTTATTACGATTCACATAAATTGAGTTTGCAAAAGTATAAACTTCTACTAATCATAATTGAGTCCAATTTTGACTTAATAATTCAACATTAAATAATTAAGAAAGCAAAATGCCAGTTGAAAGAGAGACAAAAGAGAAGAAGAAAAGAAAAGAAAAAAACAAGAAGAAGACCACAAACTTCTTCCTTTGAAGTTTGAATACCCGTCGTTTGGTCGTAAGGTGCAGTGAAGTTATTTTGGCCCAATTATTTGAGTATTTTTTTTACCCCAATTATTTTTTGAGACGAGTGGGTTTGGATATATTCACAAGTTTCACTTTTTTAAAGCAGTCAAAGTAAATAATTTATATATATTAAACTCAAAATAATATTATTTTAGAACAAAAATTAAAGTATTCTTATAATTATAATTTATTTGAGAGTTATAATAATTTTTTTCGTTTTAATTTTTTGTTCTAAAATAATGTTATTTTGAAAGTGAGTAATATAAATAACTTATCTATTTATATAAACATTAAAACCTTTAAAATTATCCAAAATTATATTTAATAAGAATTAAACCTAATTTTCTCCTTACCTAGTCTTATCTTGTTTCCAATTAAACAACATATTCGAGGCTTTTAGATATAGAGTGTGTGTTATGCATAGTATAACAGCGTAGTGTGTGTGTATTTTCCCAAGAAGACATAGAAAAGTGTTATCACACTGGCTTTGCTGGCTGCTTGTCTGTGTCTGTCTTTTCTAAACTTTGACCGAACCCAAACAAGAACGAACAAGCCTCATAGCAGCAGCTTTCGGCGCTCTTTTTTCTTTAATCTCTATTCTCTCTTTCTTTTCCCTTTCTTATTCTGTTTTTTTTTTTTTTTTTTATATAGTCTCAAATCAATTAACCATCATCTTCTTCTCTTCTATACTATATATGTCTATGTTTCTCTCCGTATGATACATTAGTACATGTTGTTTTGTGTTTTGTGTACCCATTATTACCTACACTGCTCCAAATCAATTTATATTATAATCCATTATTACCTTAAACTAAACAAAAATTATTTTTTTTTACTTTTTATGTTGTGTTGTGTTATTATAGTAGAATGATATAATCTTCTTCCTCCACTATGAACCACCAACACAACCGAACTTGCTTTCTATCTTCTCACTCTCAACTCATCAACCAAATCTAGCGGCATATCTTCCACCCTTTACTCAATTCTTTTCAGGTAACCTCCTTTTATTTTTATTTTGTTTTTTACATGTTGCATACTTATTTTCTCTCTCTTTCAAGATCCTCTATTTTCTTAATAATTTAATATGGGTTAGAATTTTTTTGGCCAGGAGATCTCTGTTATTGATGTTGTACTTGCATATGCAGATCGAGATTCGGACATGTTGTCCTTTTCTTTTTCTTTCTTTCTTTTTTGATTTTTTTGGTGTGTAATTTTTGGACTGTGTTATTCTCTTTTCTGTGTTAATTTTCATGGGCTGATTAGACTTTGCATGCTCATGCTTTTATGGTATTTGAACTGCTGATTTTTCATGCTCAGTGTGGAGAGAATTAGAATTCAGAGCTTCAAATGATTAGTTTTTGTTTAGGTATGATGCCTAGCTGACCAATAACATTAATGAATGAAAGAAAGAAAAAGGAGTATGTCCAAAACAATTAAACTTCAATTAGATTACTGTCTTTCTATGGCTATGGATGGGGGTGTTAAAGCGCATAAGAGATTAATAACTTGATGATTATGGGGAATGGCCAAAAAACTTACTCTAAGACACAGCCAAAATAATGGCCTATGTAAAGTTCTATCACAGTCCTGGGCATCTTAATTATCCTCAGAACTCTGTCCTCAACATGGGGTTGCTTGTATCTGATGATGGGCTTAGCCATATAAGGTGAAACTTAAGTTGCAGGAACTGGAGCAATGGGTTCATTTTTGTGTGCCTTGGACCGTCGAGTCACTCATACTTTGTTCATATGTGATCACTAAGTTGTTCCCCAGACGTGAAAGAGGGAACAATCTTTTCTTGTCCATTTAATATAGCATTTTGACAAAATAACTTATTGAGGATAATTCTCAACTTCAAATGCAATGTGGCAAATATTTTGGCCTATAATTCGACCTGCTATTCAGCTGTGCCTGAGTCTGTTTTACTTTATTCAACTGTCTTATTCTGTGGAGTGTGGAATGAGAATGTATAAGTGGTTCATGCTCTTGCAAGTTGAGCGGAATATCAGCTTATGAAATGACTTTAAGATCTTCCTTTGAGGGGTGGAGCCATGGAGGGTTCCTGCTTTCTTTATTTTTTTGGCTCCTGACACTATCCTAGTTCTTTTGTTAGGTGAAATCAAGCCCATTAATGTATGTACGCATTAGAGAAGGGCATTGAAACACACTGATTTCTGGTGGAGCTTGACTAGTCGTCTTCTATGCTGTCTTTTGTAACAGAAAATATGGGCTTACTCTGTAGCAGAAATCGTCGTTATAATGATGCTGATGCTGAAGAAAATGCACAGGTCCTTTGTATTTGATAAATTGCTTTTTAAGTTCTTAATAATCTTAAAGTGTTACGTGGCCTTTAATTTGATAAATGTACATGCATTTGCAGGCTGCAGAAATTGAAAGAAGAATAGAGTTAGAAACAAAGGCTGAAAAGCATATTCAGAAACTTCTACTACTTGGTACATTTCACTTGGCCTGTTTACTTTTATCTCAGTTGTATATGCTTCACTTATACATTTTATAGTTAAAATTTGTCAGTTTTAGTGTTTTATAAAAGCATTTGGAATCTAGCATTGTATAAGTGGTGATGATGCTCCCGAGATTTTGAAGGAATAACAAATATCGTTTATATGTAGTTTCTGCTGGCAATTGAAATGTTTCTAAAAAACGCTCAGTGCCTTGATGTGACCCTGTTATTTATTTGAATTTTTTTATTGAGAAAACTACCAACTCTGCAGTATAAGGTCTTTTACTGTAAACTTAACATCTGATTGAGCTGTACTTAGTTCATAACTCACTAAGTATGATAGATATAAAACCACTCATAAGACTTCACCTAATAACTTATGCTTTTGGAATAATTGGTGATTAACATGGTATCAGAGCCTCTATGACCAAGTTATTATGAGTTTGATCCATGTTGCCCCCATTCGTCTAAGTAAGATTTGTAGCAGAAAGTATAGTCTCGGTGTTTCAGGAAACTAATTGATAATTTGTATATTCATACCTTTAGGATTTGGAATAATTGATCAAACAGGATATAAGGTTTTCCTTATAGTCTTGGATGACTTATTCTGTTAGTTAAGTGGTCTATCCTGTTCCTGTGCATTATATATGCAATAATGTCTTAATAGCTTGCTTTTGTTATTTTTCTTTCGGACATATTTAAATGTGTCATTGCCCCTCTTGCTTAGGAGCTGGAGAGTCAGGGAAATCCACAATCTTTAAGCAGGCAAGAAAATACATTGTTCTCTATGTTTTAACATTGAATATAGTTGCTAGATTGTTATATTTATATATTTTTCTATAATATGCAGATAAAACTTTTATTTCAAACTGGCTTTGATGAAGCAGAGCTAAAAAGCTACCTACCAGTCATTCATGCTAACGTGTATCAGACAATAAAAGTACGCAATACTCGAAAGGGTGTGTTGATTAATTTTCTCTTAGAAATACAGAGTTAGCAGTGTCCACTGTTTATAGTTTGAAAAAAGTTTTCTGTGAATTGAGTTTTATTGGAGATAGCTGAATAAACTGTAATCCTTAATATGTACTTGATGTGTTTAAACAGTTACTGCATGATGGATCAAAGGAGTTAGCTCAGAATGATAGTGATTTTTCAAAGTACGTTGTATCCGATGAAAATAAGGTAGTTCACTGTTACCTCTTGTATCTGCTACTATGGTTGGTTAATAATTATGAAGAGTTTTATGGTGTGGTATTTTGTTAAACAAAATTTGATTTAAAAAGAACTACAGAGTGAGCAATTGTACGTAGGCTTCTTCTTCTTCTTCTTTTGGGAGGAATCTGTTACTTTGTGAAACTTTTATGCCAAAGAATTTTCTTCTAAATTCAAATGGAGCTTTCTTAATTTTTTTGGCAGTACATTGGGGAAAAATTATCAGAAATTGGAGGCAGGCTGGATTACCCATGTCTCACCAAGGAACTTGCACAGGACATAGAGAATCTATGGAAGGATACTGCAATTCAGGTAGCTAGATGGCATACTTTATTGGTTTTACTTTAATCCAGCTACATAGTTATTTTTTGGCATCATTTAATTGGTATTATGTACCACATATTTTACTTTCTCTAGGAAACATATGCCCGTGGTAATGAGTTCCAAGTTCCAGATTGTACTCATTATTTCATGGAAAATTTGGAGAGGCTGTCTGATGCAAATTATGTTCCAACAAAGGTATCCAAAACCTATCATATTTTTGTTGTTTACATATATTTTAAGGCTAATTCCTAATTTCATTTTTATCTTCCCTAGCCCATTGCGGATCTGATTTATTTCTTATTTGCGAGTGTGGTACTCTTTATTTTCTAGATTCCTCAAGTTTGAGGGCCCAAATTATTTTCTTTTCTTTTTCTCTCTTCTTGACTTTTGTTTGTGTACAATTTTAACATGCGCGGATTACAACCCATGACACTTCTATTTTGTTATTGATAAAAAAATGAATTAAAAGGTCTGAAGAAGTATATTTGGTTCATGTTTGAAAAAAATCCAGCTCAAATGCAGCGTTCTTGATCTCAAAAAGTAAATAGTGGTGGTGGTGTATAATTCTGTCTTAAATGGCCTTATTTTGCTTAACTTCTTTTTGTCCTTACATCAACTTATTTTCTGTTTTCTTTTATTGGTATACTATAGTCGTTTGGGTTCATCCTCTACCGACCCCAACTAGTATGGGATAAAGGTGTTGTTGATGTTGATGTTGGTATATTATTGTCGTGATACTAGATTCTGCAAAGTTTCCTATATAGCCAATTCAGCAGACCAAATACAGGACGTATCATGGAAGAAGCTCACTTAAGTTTTAATTTCTCTCTGCAGTGATAGACCCTTAGATTTTTTTTTTTTTTTGGTGAAGGACCCTTAAATTTTAAAATGGTTGTAAGATCATGAATCTTACTTAATTTCTCACTCTGTTTAACAACTGCAGGAGGATGTTTTGTATGCAAGAGTGCGTACCACTGGTGTTGTAGAGATCCAGTTCAGGTAAACATGCTGATAGACTTGATTTGCCATATTGAAATGATACGTAGAGATTCTTGTTACTGTCACTGTTTTGTTCTTCTCTTCCTGATATGCTTAATCTAGAAATTTTTAGTTGCAACCCTTTCAGAATGAAGACATATGGCCTTTTCTGGGGTGGGGTGGGGATGGCTAACTATAAGGAGTATTGCTAGTTGAAAGAGGTAACTAGAAACAAGAAACTGACTTTTTGATGTAGTCTTGAACAACTGCATTATTTATAGTCATGTTCTTTCTCTATATATGAATGCAATACAAGATAAGTTCATGTAATGCATTAGGGAGAAAGTACGGTAGCGCATATTGAGGAAAAGATGGTAGTAGAATCTTGCCCAAAACTGGCCATGTGAAAAGAAGACTAATAGATGCTCCAGTAACAAGAGTTCATCAGATGAGGATAGCCCAATAATTATAGGAGGTAGAGGGAGACTAAGAAAAACTGTGAAACCATTAAAAAGGACTTAGATTTAAATGACCTTTCTGAAGACTTGGTTTATAAAAGAACTCAAGGGCCTTGTTTGATCCTTGTAGCCAATCCTACCTAGTGGGAAATCGCTTTTGTTGTTGTTGTACTCTTTCTCAAAATATGAATGACAGCCTCTAAAGGTGACATAAGAAACTAGATTAGATTTCTGTATTTACTGAGTGCAATTGCCTTGATTGTGAAGTATTACTTGGAGAACGATGGTCCTTAATTTTGGTTTTTGTGGCTAGAGCTTAAAAATAATACTACACGTGTTATCTTTCATATTCATCTGCTTGTTTTTGTTAGAGAGTATTAAGAATATCTGTAGATATCTTAGAATATCTTTTTTGATTAGTCTAGGTTTGTCTTATTGTTAGTGGACTTGGGGTTCTACTAATAGTGTTCTCTTGTCTGTAATTATATTTTCAGTTTCTTTCTTTGAGCCATCTTTCTCTTGTCCTTCTTTCCACACCCTAAACCTATTATTCTTTAACAGTTTTCATTCCTGTATTTCCCTCACTTTTGATTGCCGTAATCAGTCTTTGTTGCTCATGGTTTCTTCTAAATCTCTGCTGTTATCCTGATTGCATCTCATCCATTTCCACCTTCTCATATCATCTAAATAGTCATAAGTGGCCTAAAACTGGTTGCATATGCTTGCTTAGTTTTGTATGTATGTTTTTCCAAATGATCTTTGCCATCTATTCTGGTAGGAAGGACAAATCTTGCTTGTCTTTGTGTGTGACTGATTGACTATGTATATCAAGCCACATTTAATACATGAAGCAGGGTGTTCTCGTGTTACTCAACATTTGTACTGTTCCCTTGCCTTTTTCTTGATCGTAATATGGCATACTGAATAGAACAACTCAACGATATAATGTCTTTGGTATTTTGACAGCCCTGTTGGAGAAAATAAGAAAAGTGGTGAAGTTTACAGACTCTTTGATGTTGGCGGCCAGAGAAATGAGAGGAGAAAATGGATCCATCTATTTGAAGGAGTTTCAGCTGTAATATTCTGTGCTGCAATTAGCGAGTATGGTCTACCATTTGATTTTTTATTTTAATATGATGTTTTGAAATGTCAGAAACATATATCAGGCTCTTGTATGTAAATGATGTTGCTTGACACCAAATCGAAAGGTTTTGTTTTAATATGATATTGCTTTGACACTTTTTCAGTAGTTGCCAACTACCAAACACATATTTTACTTGAAATTGAAGGGTAAGCTCATTGTAGTCCTGCAGCTGAATACGTCTGGTGTTAGTTACTAATTAAAAAAATGTTGGTATGCATGAAATACTTTGTGCCAAATTAATTCGTATATCCTTTCAATATTGTTGGCAAGAGCATCATAATTATGAAATGTGTAAAGCTCAACAAGTGTTGACATCACATTTGCCTTCCAGGTATGATCAAACACTTTTTGAGGATGAGAACAAGAACAGAATGATGGAGACTAAGGAACTTTTTGAGTGGGTTCTGAAGCAACAATGTTTTGAGGTTTCCTTTTATAGTCTTTTTTAACTTTTAACATCTATTACAATTGGGTGGAACTTTCTTATGCCAACTTTTTCTTTCTCTGTTTCCTTTATATGATACTTGCCATTGAGAGCTTTATACTTTGACAGTTTAAGATTTCTACCAATGTCAGAAAATAATGATATCCTTCTCTTTTCTATGCAGAAAACATCCTTCATGTTATTTTTAAACAAGTTTGACATATTTGAGAAGAAGATCCTGAATGTAAGAACTATCTGAAAGTTGTACACTTTGTCATTGATGGAGGCTATTATCATTTCAGTCTAATGTGTTGCATTGTGCAGGTCCCACTTAATGTATGTGACTGGTTCAAAGATTACCAGCCAGTTTCAACAGGGAAACAAGAGATTGAACATGCATATGAGTAAGAAACTTCTTTACACCTTAGGCATTTAGAATAAAGGATGTTGAGATATATAAAACCATTAAAAAACCTTTACCGACTAACTTAAGTTTTTGGGTTGAGTTGGTTATTTGCATGGTATCAGAGCCTCGGTGTACCGGGTTCGATCCTCACTGCTCCCACTTTCTTTCCGCTTGGAATTTCTTTCTTCGCACAGGTAGGTGAGCCTGTGCATTATCCACCCTTCAAGCCCAGTGGGCTCTCGTGTGAGGGTGTGTTAAGATATATAAAACCATTAAAAAGCCCTTACCCACTAGTTTAAGCTTTTGGGCTGAGTTGGTTATTTACAAAGGATGTTGCTGAAAGCAAAGTAGTTGATCCTGGCCAATGGAGGCCTTCAAAATTCATAAATTCTTACATTGTTCTATAACGTGCTTTCTATTGCATGACAAGCCTGAAGAATCTTGGTTGTGTTTCCACCAGAACTATACATAGGGAATATACTCATTTTGATGCTTGTATATAATATAGTAAACAAGGTTATTATTGCTCACATTAATTTTTTTCATAACCAACACAATTAATTGACTTGGAAAAACCTCATTTTTTCAGGTTTGTGAAGAAAAAATTTGAGGAATCATATTTCCAGAGCACTGCTCCTGATCGCGTGGACCGCGTCTTTAAGATCTACCGGACCACTGCTCTTGATCAGAAGGTTGTTAAGAAAACCTTCAAGCTTGTTGATGAGAGTCTGAGGCGGAGGAATCTCTTTGAGGCTGGCTTGTTATGACCAGTGAACCATATGTTATAAGAGGGATGAAATATATTTTTACATTGAAGAGGTGATAAAGATTTTGGGTATACTAGAGGTCAGGTATACTAAATATTAAATCGATTTGTTGATTTTGTTTCAAGTAAATCTTGTTGAAAGAGTGGATGGAGAAAGGCCATTCTAAATAGTTGATCTCCACGTCCATGTTAAAAGCGCAAATTTGTTGCGTTGAAGTTTCAAGATTTGATATCATGATTTGTGATTATGTTTTTATAGATTGAAAGTTAACTAATGATATGATCTATTATTCATGATTATTACTTTATTAGTTATGATACTAATTTAGAGACATGTACAAACTTTTGGTACAACGGATGTACTTGCATCCTGACTAAATAAGAAAAGTTTTTGGGACTTGAAAAGGAATATAAAAAAAAAAAAACAAGAGTTAAAATGAAAAATAAATTACTCATTTTAGTAAACAGGTGTATCCGTAATATTAAAAAAATTTCCGTTGAGTGCCATGTGCCTGCTATATTAAGTTTTGAATTCATACGTATATTCTTTTGCTTTTACTACTTGGTTCTACTTCTAATATTGGCCTGCATTAAAGATATTTTTTTTAAAATATACTAAGTCAATATGAGAAATAGCATTGAAGATCGCCAGCGAAGGATATCCTTTATATATTCCATATGCAAGGAAATAGATTCTTTTAAAATATTATGTCTATATCTCTTCTTATAAACAATAAATAGGTCGGATTTTATCAAAATTTGTGAAAACCTATTGAAACTTGGGCAGCCAACTATTTGACTAATTCTCCATACTTGACTGGAGCAAACTTATAGTAATAAACTAATATCCAAATATAAAAAAATCCTAGTGGAAGAATCAATGTACTCTGCTAGAAAGGGTCTTCAAAACAAGAATTTTCAAATTTAGGGCTTCCTTTGATCGTCAGCCCTCAGTTGAGGCACAAGTCACGTCCGAATTACTTGTTTATTATAAAAACCAAATCACTTATGTTTGGAATTTATTAAAATTAAATTGATTTTTTTTAGGTTATTAGATATAGCAATTTTTTGTGGTTATTAGATAAAACATTTTTGGGAAAAATATTTTTATATTTTAAAGGATATAACTTTATGTCATTTTAGATTCTAACTGTTGATTTTCGTCGATCAACGATTATGATTTATTTGATTTTGTTATGAATTACTAATTAATTAATAAATTTGACTTAATAAATTCTAACTGTTGAAAATCAACGGTTAAGATCTAAAATGATACAAAGTTATATATTTTAAAATGACAAACGTTTTTTTCCAACATTTTTACATTTTTTGTGTGGCTATTCGATTAAACATTTTTTCTCCTGTAGTTTATGTTTTATATTTTATTTCTTTGTGTTTTATATATAAGGGAAAAATGTTTCTGCAGATAAGCTATCTGCATTTATTTCCAAAACGACATCGTTTTGATATTGAAATCTTAAAAAATTATAAGTATAAAGATTATTATAATCCTGAAATAACTTAAAATTACAAAAATACCATGATTTTCGTTCCAAAACGACGTCGTATTGGACTTATTGCAGATACGGCAGAAAAAAGTGAACCCTTATTTTCAAGCGCATTTGATATGTTAATTTCTAAGGTAAAAAAAGGATTAAAATTATAGAAGACATCTAGTTAGAATTAGGAGTCTTTCCTACTTTAAATTCTGGGGCATTACCAACTACCAAGTGTTCTTGGTTATCGCAACTGCACATCATTGACCATTGCCAGCATTGTCCAACTATTACGGAAGCATTAGTCAATTGTCGGTTAATGAACCATGATCTCTGTCTCTCTTTTATTATACGGTTGCAAAGCTTCTCCAAGTAAGTTATTGGTAATGGTTGTTACGTATTGGGCTATCATCGTTATTAAGGTTACGTTCATATTTAAGAGTGAAAATTCTCTAAGCATGTATGGCAGCAATTGATGTGAGAACGAAAGAATTGAATTATATGTGGGGCCCGATATAGATCTTTTCTACCAGGTTCAATTGTTTATATAATACATATAATAATATAAAATATAAAAAAATTTGGAATTAAAGAACATAACAGGTAATATTTTTTTATATAAATTATTTAACTAATTCGGATTCGAGCTAAGAAGCATCATAAGATCGGCAAAAATTTTCACAATTTTTCAGAAAGAAACAATCATATCCCATCTAAGTTAGGCCAGTCTCGCATATGTATAAGATCAAATCTATTGGATTTTGAATTTTCAAAAGGATTACTAATCCTTAACTTTTTGAGGAATCCTTCACCGGTGATTGTGAATGATCAATTCTTTTTCAATTTTTATGATTTGCTCCTACGGAATCGAGGTCGAAAAGATTGAGAAATAGAACCATTTAATTTGATTCATTCTCAAAGTTATAATATAATTGCATATGCAGAACTTAAACTCAAATTATTGGTTAAATTTGAACAATATCCCATTAGTTGTTTCATGTACTTGATGATAATAAATATTAATTTTGAGTCAGTGTTTTGACTAGTTTTAACTAATCAAAATGATCTGTCAATTGATTTTAACACTATATCATAATAGGATATAATTTAACTCATTTTAAATAAATATAAAATAAATATTCATTTAGTGTCAGATTAAAATTTATTCAATTGATTTTTAATTTATAATTATAATTTCGTATTTTTTGAGTACATTGTTTACTTTAGAGGATAACTAGAGAATATTGTATAATTAAAGAGAGAAAAGCAAAATAATCCATTATAAAGGGAAAAAAGAAATAAAAAATAAAAAATCAAAACGCAGACATAACGCGACGGGAATGAAAAAGCACGAACCACGAAGTGGGATAAGGGATTGTAAGTAATAGAGTACGATTTTTCTTGTGCTACTCATGTTTTGCGGTAAATCATAGTTAGATTCGGTTAACTTAACTATTCTGAAGCGCAAGAAAAGCGAAGGTTACACACGGCGCCGCGCCAAGGCAACCAACGTCGCTCATAGCTGTCACGTGATGGAAAAGGATGGTACCAGATTCGGAAGGACATAAACGTCATTTAAGACTCCTCAAAGGGTCATTTCGTGTCCAAAATGGTGGGGCCATTCAAACGAGAAATTTTTAATGTACTACTACTGTTGTATTTACGTTCGCTTAATAAAAATAAGTATTGATATTTTTCTTCAAAAGAGAAATTAATTTATATATTACTCGAAAATATTCTCTTTTTTCATATTATAATATGAGATAATATTTTTTATGCTAAAAACACAATAAATGATGATGTCCATCACTTGTTAAAAATAAAATAAAAAAGATAGCACAAATTTTGATATTTTACAATATAAGAAGGGAAAAATGTTTCTGCAGTTAATGCAGATAAGTTATCTGTATTTATTCACAAAAAGACGTCGTTTTGGTATTGAAATCTCAAAAAATTATAAATATAAAGACTATTATAACCCTAAATAAATTAAAACTACAAAATACCATGATTTCCGTCTCAAAACGACGTCGTATTGACTTACAGCAGATAACTTATCTGCAATAACTGCAGAAAAAATGAACCCATATAAAAAAACTATTTCATGAGAAAATAATTTTTCATTCTTCGAAATATATAATTTGACGAAGGTTATATTTATAATCTATTTTTTTTTTTACAATTTTTATAACCATATTTTAATCGTTGATTTCTGTCAATCAACAGTTATTATTTTTTCAAATCAAACTCATAAATTAATTGTTAATTCAAAATAAATAATAACTAACGAAAATTAAAATATAATTACAAGAAGGGATAAGTATAATCTTTCTATCTCGTATAATTTATAATTTTATTTTGAATGAAAATCTGATTTGACCAGAAAGTGTGGGTTCAAATTTTTTTTACTACTTTTTTCCATTTTTGTCCAGAAAAGATCGTTTTAGAATCCACGTGACTTGTTCCCCTTTTATGCTCAAAACATATTCGCTTCTTTCTCGTTCTCTTTATTTCTGTGTGTCTTTATGTCGCGGAAAGCCAAATCGATTCTCATGCTAACTAATCCCCGATTCAAACGCTCCCCTAAACTCTCTTTCTCTTTTATTTCAGGTTCGTTTACAATTTCCCTAATCCTCCAAAAATCAAAAAATAAAAAAGTGAAAATAAACAACACTTTCTTCCACCTTTTGTTTTCGTTTCTGTTTTTTACTTTCTTCTCATTTTTCGTTGGTTGAAAATTTCAGAAAAAAAAAAAAAATATATATTAAAATCATTCTTTGCAGGTTGTTCAATCTATCGAGTGATTTTGTGGTTTGCTGAGAGATGAAGAAGAACGATTGGCTATTTTCGATGAATTCGGATCCTGATATATTATTTTCTCTGGATCCCTTTGCGTTTAACAATTTTTTGGGGTCTAATTTGCTGCATTCGTTGGTGGATAATTCTAGAAACTCGTACGTTCCCGGAAGTTATGCACTTCAAGAAGCATTCGGGCACGTGTCAAGACTCGCTGGTGCGTTGTTGTTATGGTTGTCTAGTGGGTCGAGTTCGAATGTGGCTCAGGGCATAGCACGTTCCTTGAATGGTCCTCTTCCTGGATTTGGAAACGCTACCACCGTGCAGGTTAAGCCTATGTCTAATGTGGCTGGGTTTGGTTTTCCTTTTCGATCAAGAAGGAAATCTTCTGCCCCTGTAACTTTGGCCAAGATTTCAAGTTTTGCCATGAGGTTGCTCTGGAGGGAAGCCAAAAGGCTTCAATCATACCCTGTTCTCTCATTAGCTGCAGCATTGGTACCCCCAATTCAAAACTTGTATGTCACATCCCAAAAATAAAAAAATGATATTGATTTTATTTGTTTTTCTAGCTATACTCGCTAGTCGGGTTTAATTGGTAGTGAATTTTTTTTTTTCTAGCTATGTTTGGATATTTAATGATGGGTGGAATAGAATGAAAAGGGATGGGATGGAATAAAATTACCATATCATTGTTCCGTTTCATTGTATGGGAAATGGAAGGAATGATAAGAGTTATTATAACTTTATTAGAATGGTTCCTTCCCATACTTCCAAAATGGTGGGAGGAAAAATGAGACTATTGGATGGAATGGGATGCAATAGACTACATCATGTTCCATTCCATTCCTTCCAATTTTAAGAAATACAAACAATGATAACTCATGACATTCCATTCCGTTTTACATATCCCAGCGTAGTCTTTGTTTATGCCATTCTCTTTCTTGGTTTTATAACAATTAAATCTTTTTTTTTAATGTTTTTTATTTTTGCCTCTAGGTCATCAAATGTACTAGCTGGCCCATTGCAGAATCCTGATGTGCAAATGAATGGAGGCATGAACCAAATGCCTAGGGAGGTTGAACAACAAGGATGTCCTCGCCTATCCTTTCCCGATTTGAACCAGGCAAAACCTGCAGTGGAGCCCAAAACCGGCATTGAATTTCCTGTGGTTCTGGACAATATATCAGCTGGAGAACAGAACTCCAGCTTCAACTCTGAGGTTAATATTCGGTTTACATTTTTTTTTTCTGGTTCTTTTGGCCCTTTTTCACTTTGTATGATTAGTTTCTGTGCTCCATGCAACTGTTTTGAATTTTAGTTAAGATACTATTGATAATGGCTAAAGCTGGTGTTGGAATTAGCCTACTGTTTTTTTAGAATTAGTTACAATAGTTAGTGTAGCTTTGGAAAATAATCATGATGATGGTATTCAAGATTTGAAACAACACTTAGGTTGATTACAATATTTTCTTGGAATTGAGATTGTCCAATCAAAGGATGGTATTGCTATCTCACAAAGGAAGTATGCCCTTGTCATTTTGGAAGAATATGGAGTGCTTGACTATAAACTAGTTGATACTGCTATGGATCTGAATGTTAAACTTCTACCACACCAGGGAAAGGATTTAAGACTAGTAGGAAAACTGTATTATCTCACCATAACTAGGGCTCTCCTGCAGTGGTTGGTAACTTGGTATATGCAGGTAGGGGCCATGCAAATATGGTAGCTTAGACAGAAGCTAACTGGGTTGGATATCCCAGTGATAGTTCAACCTCTTGATGTTGTGTTCTTAATGGAGGAAATCTTATCTCATGGAAAAGCAAAAAGAAGAATGTAGTCACTAGATTCAGTGCTGAAGCAGAGTATCAAGTTATGACTCTCACCATGTGTGAGCTCGTATGGTTAAAACAACTTCTTCACGAATTGAAGTTTTGTGAGATATGTATGGCCTACGATTCTAATTTGCGATAATCAAGCAGCATTGCTTATTGCTTCTAATTTCAATCAACCAAACATATATAAACATATCATCCGTGAAAAGATTGTGATAAAACTGGATCAGAAATAGGTAGAGCAATGCATCTTTATTGTAGAGAACTACTCTGATCACTATCAATGTGATAAGAAACCGAAGTTCCGTAATGATACAATTGGGAGTCTCTTCCTCTCTCTAATGCCCTGATACTTAAGAGACTTGGTTCTCTCCCTTCCAATTTCTTCCATAATGATACAATTGGGAGTCTCTTCCTCTCTCTAATGCCCTAGTATTCAAGAGACCTGGTTCTCTCCCTTCCAATTTCTTCCATAATGATATAATTGGGAGTCTCTGATGGAACCTATTTTTATAAATCTGAAATTGCAGAAAATATAAATGGAGCCAAGCTCCTTACAAGATAAAATGCAACAAAATAAACCCAGAAATCTCAACTCCCAGAGATCCCCAATTTTCCCACTAACCAATTCTGAATACATGCATACCCCACACTCCCCTCCTTATATCCTATTCTTTGAGAATATTCTAGAATAACTCTCAAACTAACTAACTAATTATCTCAGGCCCATCACTAATTATTTCGGGCCCATCAGTCTCTTCCTCTCTCTAATGCCCAGGTATTCAAGAGACATGGTTCTCTCCCTTCAAATTTCTTTCTCACAACTCTCAACTGACTCTAACTAACTTCCCCTATCCCTTTTTATCATTGAATATAAGTAGTTATTCTATTATTAATATAGTTGGGTCCTAATCCCCAGCTAACCCTCTTAACCTTGACCTTTTTAATTGGGGGGTCTGCTAACAAAGAATTACATAGTTCCTGGAAAAATTATAAGATGGTATGATATGAAGTAAGTAGAGGATATGAAAGAAAGGTATGAAAGAAAGGTTTGAGTGCAGGGGACCAATATGTCCGTGGTTCTCTCTTGGTGTTGGATTGTTGATTCAAGTGTTTAGAGGGTTGTATATTTATAGGGGAGTCTAGGACGGAGGGTTATAATGCTCGAGGTGGTGCTAGCCAAGTCTATTTGTTTAGGCTTCTTAGCCTAGCATGGTGGGGAGAAGAGGAAAATGACATGTCCTTGGTTGTAGTCATGGGGTATCAAATGAGGAGAAAGTGACATCTCAGTGGGTTAAAGAGAAAGGTGTGGTGGTTCTTCTCTATTGTCCAACTTCCAAGTGAAAGGAAACCCAAGGCTGCATATACCTGATTTCCCAACGGGGACTCCATACCAAGGTCCTAAAGCCTCAGTGGAGTGGTCCCCCACCTAAAAGCCTTCTAAGAATGTAGTTCCAAGAGGAATGCATGAGGCAATGTCCAGCATCTTACACCTTCATTGTCAAGGTGCTTTAGGGTGTCAGAACTTCTTGCATGAACGTACTTGTGTTGATGGCTTGACAATTCTCTGACTTGTATAGAGAGGTTCTGGTCTACGAGGAATTCATGTTGAAATAGCTAGTAGTGTTGGAAACGTGGTAGATAGGAGACAAAATTGAGAGAAGAGTGAGGAGAGAAGAAAATCAAATTTACTGAATGAGGAAATTGATTACAATGGAGCCACAAGGCGACTTATGTTCTGGTAGAGAAATAACTAATCACAATCATCTGACTGATGAAACTCTACCCATAAACCACATGTGGTAGTGCCCCTCCAGCTGGAGGATGTGTTCTTAGTATCCAACTTGGGGTGACAATATGGCTCATATCAATCAACAACAAACCCTAATTACAAAAGACAACAAATTATGCTGTAATCACATCGGCTAACAAGAAAGAAAATCTAAAATTGAATGGTGAATTTTTTGTACTGGTTAAGGTTTGTAGCTCCAAGAAGCCGTCAAACTTTCTTTAGGCCACATCATTCTTATTGCATCATCTCCACGGCTCATGTCCCAAGCAAAAAGAATCGCTTTAGAAATATCACAACGAAATTGAATTGAAATCACTAACTGCATTCTTGGAATCCCTAACTTTCAAAGGTTCTTTTGGCTCATATCAATGTGTGCCAAAAAACACCATGGCCTACAAAGAGTTGCAAGAAAAACATACTGGAACTTCATGCCAGAAACACCACAAATTGCAGATTACCAAAAACTAAAAAAAGATTGAATAAAGCAAAAACAAAAAACCTTACTGGTGCATAACCAATGATTGCAAGGTAGATGACAGCCACAGAGCCATGGTCAGATCTCTGAAGCTTGCTATAAGCTTACATCAACATCAACAACAACACCTTTATCCCAAATTAATTGGGGTCGGTGGTAGATGAACTCAAATAAAAGATACGAAAGAGTTGAAAAAAGATAAAAGATAAAAAATAAAAATAAATAAATAAAATAGTAATAATATATATATATATATATATGTTGAGATATATAAAATCATTAATGTAACCTCACCCAATAGCTTAAGCTTTTGGGTTGAATTGGTTCTTTACATGGTATCAAAGCCTCGATGTACCGGGTTCAATCCTTACCGCCCCCCACTTTCTTTCTAGTAGAATTTCTTTCTTCGCACAGGTAGGTGGGCCTGTGCATTGTCCACCCTTCAAGTCCAGTGAGTTCTCGTGTGAGGAGGCGTGTTGAGATATATAAAATCATTAATGTAACCTCACCCAACAGCTTAAGCTTTTGGGTTGAATTGGTTCTTTACAATATATATAAAAGTGATAAAAGAAGGGGAAAAGAAGAAGAGGGGGGAGATGAAAAGGAAAAAGGACTAAAAAAAGACCATCTGGAACATAGAAATATTACAAATCAACAAACCTTGGTTTGAAGGAGCAGAATGGGATCAACAAACATAGGACTATAAGCTTACAAATCAGGGAAAATCAAAGGAGGGAAAAAAAGAGATGAAAATCTATGAACCGTCAAAGCATACCTTGGTTTGAAGGAGCAGAATGGGATCAACAAACCAAGGAGAGAAAACCAGAAAATTACTCATATATCTAAACCAAAAAAATGCCGACACTCTGAAAATGGGAAGAAGAAACAGAAATGGAACGATGAGAAAATCTTACTTAAGATGAAGAGAAAATTTTAGAGAAAATGAGTTTTGTGGAATGGGAAAAAGTGTGTTCTAGAAGCTGATTGATGCAAGGAACAAAGTAGAAATCTTGGAGGGTGGGTGGAAATCAGCTACATTAGTCCCAATCTGGAATTTTGGGAATGATTGATATAGAACTGATTGAAGATAATGAGGGAAAATGAAGGAAAATTTTGGATTGATTTTCTGAGAAATGAAACAGTGATAATCTGGAAAAGAAAAAGATGAGGAAAGAAGAAAAGAAAAAGGAGAAGAAGACGCAGCTGTGCCATGTTTTTCAACATGTAGGGAGGAAAGAAAATTGAGAGAAGAAAATGAAATTTACTGAGTCACAAAGTGACTTATATACTAGTAGAGAAGTAACTAATCACAATCATCTAACGAATGAATTACCAGTAAGTCAAACTCAACCATGAACCATATGTTGTAATAAGTAGCTATTAAACAATGACTTATGGTATAGGTAATAGGCTGGAAGAGAATATTAGAATTATTTATCAATTCCTTGCTCGATATGTTGCAAACCATGCAACATCAGTTGCGTGATCTGGTCACCACATGCTGTGTTTGAGATTCTATATTTACCTTGCTTTTTTACATGAACTAATCATTTAAATTTACTTCAGGTCCTGGTTGGAACAGGATCCAGAACCCTGACAATAGTTAAAATCAAGTCACTGAAGGTCTATGCATTTGGGTTTTGTAAGTTTTCTTGAATACTTGATTTTTTTTCCCTTCCTTTTGTGAAGAAAATGAAATATTATCGATACTTGTTGTGTATGTTGTTGGCAAAAGTTCCCCCGTTAATCGAGTCACTCTTGGTTTTTATTTAACAGATGTTCATCCATACTCCCTCTGTGAGAAGTTGGGCCCAAAATATGCATCAATTTCTGCTGATGAACTGAATAACCGTCATGATTTCTACCAGGATCTTCTCAGGTCTGAAAACATCATATGTGCTCTTTTTTTATATATGCATAAAATTTTATTGAATGTAAGAGTTCTCTTCTCGGTGATGATAATTAATTATACATTGAAAAGTACATGGGAAAATTTGTGGAGTTCTATGAACATTTATAGGTAGTATAAAACACCAGGTTAAGTTAATCAATTGGATGTCCTAATACATGATTTGGCTAAATATTATCTACTTCTGAGATTTGCAAACTTAAAGAAGCTATTTGGTTGATTTCATGGTTATGCTATTAGAAGATATTCATTTCTTTGGTTTTTTTTTTACCGTTGCAGGGAGGATGTTAATATGACTGTTAGGCTTGTTGTAAATTGCAAGGGATTGAGAATTAACAGCGTGAAAGAGTAAGTAATAATTTTCTTTTCTAAGTTGTGTAAATGTGTGCTTGATTTTTAAATTTAACTTTTAAAATTAGAATTGGCAGTCCTTCACATGTTTTCAGAAGACACCTCGTTGTTGTGCTTTATTCCTTTTCTCTATAAAAATATATTAAGTCTTATCTGCGGGTATTAAGTCTTTAAACAATATTTTGGCATGTTTCTGAAGTCCAAATAATTTTGCTCTACTTTCCATCTTGCCGTTGTACACATCTTGATGTACCAATATGAGAAGTTTGATTTTTGCCACTAAGAATTCGCTGAACCCTGTTTGATTTAGAATATGATTTGGTTGATTTAGATTTGAGTAATTAACCATCCGTTCAAATTTATATATCCTCAACCAAGTAGACTATGAAAAGGGCATGTCTGCTCTTTTAATGCAGTGGTGCAGCCTCAATATAAAGATGTTTGGCATATAATTGATTTTGAAATTAAGGTGGCAAGGCAAAAGGATACTGATGATTTTTTTTTATTTTTTTTCATTTGTCTACTTTGATGCAGTGCTTTTGAGAAATCACTCCGAGCTCGATTAGTTAAGGTACTCTACCTCTTGGAAAATCATTTTTTGTGGTTTCTACCCTGGATTAGTTCTAACTTCCCCCGAACCCCACTTTTGGTCAGACAAATCCGTCCACAGACTTTCATTGCCTAAAGACATTCGGTTCATACTTCACAGAGAATTTCCCGATACCTTTGGTAAATAATCTATCAATATGTTTCTTCTCTGTCATACTAAATTACTAATGATGTCTTAAGAGTTACATTAGCTGTATTGCCCCGTTGCAGGGAACAGTAATTGAGTTCCGACGAACAGTTGATGGACGTCTAATTACTGAAAGTGAGTAATGTTTGCCTGCACTTAATTGACTTTTGAAACTAAGTTTATATTGTTGGCCTTAGGGTAGACCAGAAGAAGAAGAAAAAAAACCCTCATCCTTTTGGTCTGTTTTCTCCGAAGGCATGCGTTTTTCTTAATGGTGCCTCTGTATTTAACGTGGATTATCGAGAATTTTGTGTTGACAACTAAAACTGTTAGTTTTAATCGTACAGTTAGTGGCAATCAGATTGGATGTGTCCACAGCAAAGATTTGTGTCGTAAGTCATATTCAAACTTATGTACTTGTATCATACCAATTTGAATTTCTGTATTTCTTTTGTCTGGTATTAAACTGAATTCAGGTTCTAATATTTTAATTTGCAGGGGCTTTCTTTGACATGTACATTGGAGATGTTCCTGTGTGCGAACAAACTAAAAAAGAGATTGGCAGGAACGTTGCAAATATTATTAGGAGGTGTTAAAACGGTTCGTTTTCTGTCCCAATTGTCCTGCTTTTAGAATGGACAATTGGGCATGGGTGGCATGGCATATACCCGCATAGCATATACCCCTAGCTTATAGCACAAAGCAGTGGTTTCATGAAATTGATTTCAATCTGTCTTGAAAATCATTCTCAGCATTACTTCTCAAGGTTTGTCCTTTGAATCATAAAAGTTATTAGGATATCTCAATTTGGATTCTCGTTGGAAAATTCTTTCTGTTCCTATTGAGATATGCATCGCTTTGATGCCTCTGTCCCTGATAGATGTATAATCATATTTACTTAGATAATGAAAGGAAAATAAAAATAAAAAATGCAGACAAGTATTGGTTCTGTGCTTCAATTCTTATCATCAAAATAGGTATAGGGTTTATAAATCAAGTTTGATTCTATGGACATTTTGGGTGAGATAATATTTTTCTTGCAATATAAATCTGTTGTATTGATATTTAAGTTATTGGTAAGTAGCAACGGCTGGGACACTGCGTTCCCACCACCATTCCTGTGCAAAGATGACCAGTACGGTGCACATGAACTTGTTAATTCTGTAAGACTATAACCATGAGTGTTATTTGAGTATTTTAGAACAATCTCTTTGGTTAGCATTTAAAAAATTTTGGATTTTTTTCTTCTGAGTTCTTGGGAATATCTTAAAAATATTTTTGGCATTTTTATGTGATAATTTTCATTTGGGGAAGGAAAGGATATACTTATCACCAAAAAAATTTATCACATTTATAACTAACTTAATCACCATTGATTTCCGTCAATCTAATGGCTATAATTTATTGGAATTAATAATTAATTAATAAATGTGACCCAATAATTTTCAATAAATTATAACTGTTAGATTGATGGAAATCAGCGGTGATTAGGTTAGTTGTAAATGTTGTAAATTTTTTTGGTGTTAAGTATATCCTTCTCCTTTTCAAAATACTCTTATTATATAAAATATTTGAATTACGCTAAATAATATTCTCAAAATATGTTGAAAATTATAAAGGAGTAAAAATGTGTGAGGGATATAAAATTAAGTTGAAATATAAAAAATATAAAAATATGTTGAAAATTATAAAGGAGTAAAAATATTTGGTGTTAAGGATACATGATTAGCTTTATTCTTTTATAAATTAAGTGTTCATGTAATAAGGTGTGATTAATTTTTAATCAAATGATAAAAATATATAGATATAAAATAATTGATGTATTTTCAACCAAAAAATAAATAATGGTTGTATAAGTATGTTTGTTTTATGGGTTTGATTTTTCTTATGTCACATAAGATAAATCTTTTCTCCTACTCTCACAACAAATGGTGGAACCCATTTTATTTTTAAAAAAAGAAAAGAGAAAAAAATAGAGCACGGAAATTGAAGTGAGAATAAGAGATAAAATTTCTCTTATATGACATAAGAGAAATAAAACCCTTGTTTCATATGCATAGATCTAATTATGTACTATATTAAACTTGAGAATTACGGTGAATAAAGGTTAAAATATGGGCTCGGGCTTCTAAAACTTAAGGTGGGCTATGTTCGGACTTCAATGTGTAAACTCACTTGGGCTGGGTTCGGGCTAGAATTTAATTTGTAGATATAATTAGGTTAACGGTTGAACCCAAATTTTATTAGTTTGTGCAGATAAAAAAAAAAAGTTCGGTGGAGGTAGGATATAATTTTATTTCTTATATACACACATAAAAGTGAGTGGAGCTCAAGTGAAGCCATGTGAAAGGAAGAGAGAAAAAATATATATAAGTCATACATACTTTTATATGTGTAGAAGATAATTTTATCTTCTAAACATTAATCCCTAAAATTTAACAGTAAAAGTGTCTTTAGATTGAGGAGAATGAAAGGGAACATATTTTTAATTGAAATTTTATGAATGTATAGGAAACAAAATTTTCTAATTTTCTTGTAATCTTTCAAATATATTCGAAGGTTGAAGGCTTGAAACAGTGCGTGTAGGTTATCCACCAACAAGAAAGGTGGTAGCTGATAGTGAAATGGTGGTCGCGACTCCCCCACCACCACCCCCACCTCGTGATGTAAAAATCAAAAAACGTGTAATGCGATAAGTTGAAGTGTTTCAATCCACGTTCCTATCATGTCCTACTTCTTCCCTATGCTCATAAAAAGATTATATAATTCGGGAAAAAAAAAAGACAGTTGTAATGTGGTCCTTGCAAAACTAGAGTACGACGTAAGTAAAGGCGTAGTGATAATTTTTTTTTTTTTTAGGACAAGGCATGGTGATAATAATTTAACTAATTTGCTTTTTCATAAAATAATTTAACTTACATAATAATTATCTCAAGCTACTTTAAGAAAGTGATAATATATAATTGAATAATAGATTATTTAACTTTACATTTACATTATATATTAAATTTAAACTCTTATTTAAAGACTTAAATACTCTTTAAACATGAAAAAGTTTTATTTTACTGATACATGAAATGCACCACTCCTTAATCTGAGGAACATATACATGATAGTTATTTATTGGATTCCTAGTAGGAGTTGATGGGACGTGATTAAAGAGTAGGAGAATAGGAAGCATCAAAGAGCAAGAATTAGACAAAGATATTCATGTTATGGGAAGGCGAGCGTTGAATGATAAAATTGTGGGTAGGGTCCCACTCCCACCGTACTTTTGTTCTTGTGGATAAGCTTGAACCTCACCCAATCCTCATCACCACGTCATCCACATCCAACGTTGTACTGCATTAACATTACAATATAAAAATGTGGGAGGCAGACACTCGCAAAAAAATAAGATTGGAATATGCTTATTTCAAAAGTGATATGAGTTATTAATTTCTTATCTTTCTTTCTCCTTTTCATATCCATTTCCATGTACTGAATGGATGGGCTGTGTGTCTTTTTCTTCCTTTTCATTTCTTTATACTAAATGGTTGGAATATGCTTACCTAGAAAGAATTTTCTTTCACTTAGAGTATACACAATTTTTTTCATAAAATTTGTTTATAGATTTCGAAATTGATTTTTGTTAATCATCATTTGTTGATATACAATTACAAAATCTTGTAAAGATTTTGTAATGTGTTTTGACTTTAGAATGATACTTCCGTTTAAGGGTTTAATGTTTCTCAAAGTATAAGAGATAATTTTATTCCTTATATACATAAAAGTGTATAAGGCTCATATAACATCGTATGAAAAGAGAAAAGAAATAATATAGATCTTATATACTTTTATATGGGCTTTTTGACCCTTATGACCCTTAATTAATAATTAATTACCAAATTGCCCTTCATTCAAAACTATTTCGAAAATTTACCCTCCCCAACAAACATAACACCAATCTGCCCCTGTTTGACCGTTGACCACGAAGCCTACCCGGGTACACCATTACCTACCCGGGTAAATTTTGAAAATTTTTTATCTACCCGAGTATGTAGGAGTGTACCCGGGTAGAGTTCTTGAATCTGGGAAAATAGTTGAATTATTTACCCGGGTATGGATCAGTGTACCCGGGTAAATCGCGTCCAGAAACCCCAATATGTATGGGTTTCGGCCATTGTTGCGAGGTATAGGGTTTTTGAAACCCCAAATCTCTCTCTCTTACCCTCTCTAATCCGAAACATCACACATATTTCATCTCATCATTTCAGAAAGCTGAATCTTGGTGGGACATTGAGATTACATCTCCACACTCCCATTTTGTGCTCAAAAATCCGAACCAACCTCCAAACCCAAAACCTAGATCTAATTTTTGTGTGAAAGATGAGTTCAAGTCCAAACATGGTTCCTATAGTTATTTACTACAATGGGAGGCATTTTGAAGGTCCGAACGGTGTCCGATTTGAAGGAAAAACAAAAACGATGAAAATCAAAGTGGGCACTACATGCAATGAACTGAAGGAGAGAATTCTTCAAAAAATGGGGTCAGAAGGCATACATTCCATCCACCGCATGATAGCCAGGTTAGAGACTGTAGTGGATATGGATACAATATACTACATTGGAAACGATATAAATGATGATGAAGATGTGGAGTTCGTAACAGATGCGTTTGTTGAATGGAAAGTATTAAAATATATTGAGATATATGTTGAAGTTGATGTTGGACAATCTTCATCTTTACCGGTGCATACAACCACTACTGCACACTGTACCGGTCAAGAAGATACAGTTGTAAAATCTTCTGCACCTCCTCAGGTAGCATTGGATGAGGATGAAGAGGATGAAGTCGAGGACTATGTGGACAGCGAAGATGAGGGAGAACCTGAAAGTGCTATTCCAGAAGGTGATTCGTCAGACACTGACGTGGACGGTAATTTTGATGCTGACATGAGCGCCGTAAGTCTCGGTACCTCAGCCTTGTCACCACTTCATGTCGACCCAGTCAGTAGTGGTAAGTTATTAAATTTGAACATTTGCTTTAGACAATTTATTATTTGTGGTGGTATTCATTTAGACAAATGAGAGTTGATCTTTAGATGCAGGGTCTGAGGAGCCATTCTGGAATGAAAGCCAACATTATTCATTCATTAACTGGGCGCACCCTAATGACGAGTTGGAGATCCTATATGGCGATGATGACTTGCACGGAGGTTGGAAGTTAGGAGATCCGTTATTTGTGCAACAAGAATTTGGGTCCAAACCAGAATTGCAACATGCTGTGAAGATACATTGTATGAAGGGGCGCAGGACAGCCATAGTTGAAAAAAGCGACGAGTCAAGATTTGTTATGAAGTGTAAAAACCATGCTGACGGTTGTCCCTGGTATATGAGGGCAATTAAGCCGAAGAAGGGAGCTAATTGGGTGGTCCGTAAATGGGGTCAAGCTCACACATGCCTAAATCAAGGCCTAGCACAGGATCATAGACAGTTGGATTCAAATGTCATTTGTGCGGCTATAATGAGTATGTATTCTACTGTGTATTTAATGATTCAGATTAATTGAGAATATGGTAAAGTTATTTTTTTTTCCAGATATGTTAAAGGAAGATCCATCCACAAGACCAGCTCTGATACAGGAGAGGATACAGGGAACATATGGATACAACATAACGTACAGGAAGGCCTGGAAGGCAAAAATGAAGGCCATCGTTAAGTTGTTTGGTGACTGGGAGAAATCGTACGCATTCTTGCCAAATTGGCTGAAGTATATGACGAAGGTGAATGTGGATTTTGTGTTCAAGCTTGATACAAATCAATGTTTTGATGAACGTCGGGTTTATACAGACAGGGCCGTATTTCAAAGGGTTTTTTGGACATTTCACCAATGCATTGAAGCATTCAAACACTGCAAGCCTATAATTCAAATTGACGGCACTCATCTGTATGGGAAGTACAGAGGTACTCTATTGATTGCAACATCTCA